AAATTTCTTTTGAGAGCCAAATTTTTTTAAACTTAAACTTCTTCTAACGCCACTTCTTCAAAATAGACTCGCCCAGGCCGTGGTATTTTGTGGAAGAGCCACGCTCACGGGGCCAAAGAGCCGCATGTGGCTCGCGAGTCGCGATTTGCCCACCACAGATCTAGCGCAAATGTCAACTGTGCTGCGACTGAAAAATCTGGATTTATTGAACACTCACATTTCTCACTCTAGAGATATTTTATAAGCACACAAAAGCAATAGTAATGTGCTCACTTATCAGACCCCATAAAGACTGGGTCAAACCCAGTCTTAATTTAATTTAAATTAAGTTATTTTAAACTTAATTTAAAAATAATTAAGTCATTATCTTAGTGGTGTAGACTGTTCACCAGGCCACCAGAAGTGTTTCAGAAACACATCTAAGGAGCCAACAGTTCTCACCCAAACATGAGCCACGGATGACCTTGCTGGCACTGGACTATTTGACAGCCGCGTCCCAGTTCCCAAATATCTACTTCGACTTATTGTGCCAGCTTCCTTCACAAAGGCCTCCTGAGGAGCACGAAGCAGGGTTAAAGCGAAGTTCCTCATTCCGGAAGCTTCGTGCTGAGAAGTGGTCAGGATCCTCTTGGGAGCCACCAAGACCTTCCCCTCCTGGGAGTGCTCAGAGCTGCGTTTGGAGCAGGAGAAAGAAGCAAACAGCCCTTGCAGCGGGCTTACCCCGGGACCTGGGCCTGCTCGGAGGACCAGGACTGGGAGGGCGCTTAATGGGCAGGATGTCAGAACTCACGCATCTGGGAGGAGAGACTGGGCTTTCCTGTCCTCATCTCAAAGGACTGACCGCGGCATTCCACCTGAGCCAGCCCTGGTAAAGGCGGCCCGGACCGGGAAGCAGCTGGCCGCAGTCACTGTGAGAACGAGACGAGACGGCATTTACATTGTGTATCTTCTGCTTTTTGTTTGCTCCGTTGGTTGGTGGGTGGGTGGGTTGGTCGGGTTCTTTCTGAAAGTTGGCTTTGGAAACATTGCATTTGATACCATTAGTGGATCCAGAGAGGCCCTAACGTTGGTTACTAACATGGGTCTTTCCATATCACACCTCTTTTTGACTCCTAGGATGACATCCTAAAAAAGTTACAGGGGTGCCAGTAAGTGTGTGGGGAGGGGCGTGGAGGCGGCGGGGAAGCAAAGAAGGGATTTGGGGCCCTCTAGGGTCAGCTAAAGTGATCTGGTTTCCAATCTCCACCAAGGTGTCTGGTTTCCATAGCGCCATTCCCTGCGTTGGGGCAGGGAGGAGGGCGGTGAGGAGTGAGGATTTAACAAGGGAACTTTGCTTTTTCATATCAAGTCCAGGAAATGAAAGCACCAATGCTCAGAGGCAGTCAGGGGAGATCTTTCCCAGCCCCAGGGTCCAGCTTTATCCTCCCGAAGCCCAACGATTATAGAAGGGAAAGCCAGTCTGAGGCCTGGGACGGGAATCAGGGCTGCGTTTTCATGGCAGCTGCTTGTCAGTGATTCCAAGGATGGAAGTGTAATTTCATTCAATAGACCATTCATTTCACTAAAAATATCGATAGATATTCAACCCTCTTAAATGAGGCATTTGTTTTTGTTTAAAAATCTGACGAGAATCTGCCTTAAGCTCCTTTCCCCTAATAAAGTATTTTATTTGATGTTAATAGTTCCAACAAAGACATATTCATTGAGTAAAAAGGTTAAGATTTGGGCAGTTCTTCAGCAGATAGTCTGGATTCGGATCCCAATTCTTTCACTTATTAGCAGAGTGACCTTGAACAAGTCACATGGTTGCTTTTGAGTCTTGATTTTTCTGTGAAATCGGAAAAGATATTTTGAGGAGAAAATGTAATAATGTATATAAAGCTCACACACATTCATACACTCATTTAAAAAATACTTAACTGAGCACCTGCTGTGTATTGGACTATGTGCCAGGTAAAAGGGACATAGCACTAGTTCTCATAGAACCTTCTGGTTGAGGTAGAAGCATCAAAAATCAAAAGTTTAAAAATAAGGTTATCCTATATAATGAAAGGCTAATATGCAAATTGACCAAATGGCAGAACGACTGTTGCTCTGACGCGCACTGACCACCAGGGGGCAGATGCTCAATTCAAGAGTTGTTCCCTGGTAATCAGTGCGATCCCACAGGGGGGTGCAGTCCCCAGTGCCACTACCCCATTCCCCTTCTTTCTGCCTGCCTAGAGGTGACAACTTTTCCAACTCTTGCTAATTCTTTTGGTATTTACCTCCAAATTTCTAAGGAACCTACTTATGTTATTACTTCTTGGTTCTTTTGTCTATTTAAGGCATGATCTCTGGCTTCCCAAACTAGAAGACAAGAATTCAACTCTTTTTTTCTCATCCTTGCCTTTATTACACACATGCACACTTTCTCTTCACCTCCTCCCAATATCAATAAATAATCACTTTATCACCATAGAGTATTTGCCTTTTATAACTACACAAATATGTTTCACAAATAAGCCATTTTGTACACAATAATTACTCTTCCTGTTTTATATGCTGGCCTGCGAGTTGACATTTTTCTAAGTCAATCCTTTCAGTGGATGCCTGTGGATGACAGCGTCTTCTTGCTTCCTGTCAGTGCTTCCAGGGCTGGCCATCGGTGGTTAGGTGTTCAGACAGCCTGGCCTACAAAGAATGTGCAAGTTTGCAGAGGTGGAATGGCTTGGGTATGAGTAATGTGTGAAAACACCCCAAAAACCTTTTCCCAGGTCACACAATGATTCCCTCTTTGGCCCTGAGAAGTTTGTTTTCCTCATTTTCTCTCCATTTTTCACTGAGTACTCTACCCCCGCCACATCCAGCCAGGACTCAGAGTGCTAAGCTTTGGCGGTCGGGGCCCTAATGAGGTGTTTCCCCTAATGGCTGCGTGCCTGGGCTTCACAGTGGTGTGTGTGAAGCTGAGATCACCAGCTACACGTTCTTTCCTTTTTTTTTAAGGGTCAAGAAGGGTTGATGTCGTTTTTATTTTTATAACAGAAGTAATACAGCCTTTTAGTGAGAAGAAAAAAAAATCAAACAGAAAGAGGTATACACAGTGACAGTACAGGTCCCCTTTCACCCCATCGCTGGCCCCTCCAAGACCCCCTGAAAAGCAGTGCTGCTCTAGGGCCAGATTTCCTGGGTTCCGATCCTAGCAATTTTTAGCCATGTGACCTCGAGGCAGTTACCTAACCTTTGTGGGACTCAGTTTTCTCATCCATAAAATGAGAAAACAATAGTGCTCACCTCAAAGAGCTTTATCTGAATTAAGTGTTAATATTTATAAAGTGGCACAGAGAAAACATGTTGTAATAGGTATTAACTAGGAAATGCCTAAGTGTGTATATCCCTTTAAGTCAGTGGTTCTTAACCTTGGCTGTACATTAAAATCACGTGGGGGAGCTTTAAACATTCTCAATGCCCAGACCTCACCCTCGGCAATTCTGATGTTACAGTGTGGGGTGCTGAGCCTCGGGATTTTTAAATGCTCCTCACATCATTGCAGTGTACAGCCAAGTTTGAGAAACCTTATGCTGCACATTTTCCACATGTATCAGTTTGGATCCGTGAGGTTATGCTACAGTAACAAACATCCCCCAAATCTCAACAACCTCTCATTTATGGTACATATCCATTGTGATCTGTTGCAGCCCAACACATATTATCTTTATTCTAGAACCCAGACTATCAGGGTAGCTTTTATGTGAAGCACAGCAAACCATGCACTGACTTTTAAAGCTTCTGACCAGAAGTGAAACATGACTGCTGCTCAGCTATCATTGGCCAAAGCAAGTCACATGATCACACCTGAATTCAATAGGAATGGTCTACATTGGGGCCAGCAGACTGGGAATAGTCAGATGGTAAATATATTAGGTTCTACGGGACATAGACCAACTGCTGTTGCAATGACTCTCCACTGCCTTCAAAGCACAAAAGTAGTCATAGACAAACACTGTCAAAAACTGCAGAAATCAGTCTGGCTATGTGGCTCAGTTGGTTGGGCATCGCCCCAGATTGCCTGATCTGATTCCCAGTCAGGGCACATCCCCAGGTTGCAGGCTCCATCCCCAGGGGAAGATGTGCGGGAGGTGGCCAATCAATGTCACACTCTTGCATCGATGTTTCTCTCTCTCTCACTCTCCTTAAAAAAAATTTTTTTTTTTTAATGTTTCAATGCAGAAATCATTCTTAGCTCATGAGCCATACAAAAACAGGCAGCAGGTGATCTGTAGTTTGCCAACACCTGGTAGACATCACCTCTTCCAGGGAGACTCTTAAGGAAGGGATCCCAAATATGGGTGAAGAGTCTACACGCCATGGGTATGGACAAGAGACGGAGAGTGAGAATGGGCTGTTGTGTTGTCCAGTGTGCTCCCCACAGATACTGTGACATAACTAGCTTTTGTCCCTTAATAGTATATTTCTTCATGACAGCTTCATGTCAGCAGCAGAAGCATGACTTCATTTTTTTAATGACTGCCTTGTTTTCCTTGGTACAGATGCACCATAGCGGGTTTTGTTTGTATGTTTGTTTTTTAAATGAATCTCCATGGTTAGGGACCAGTGGCATTTAAAATACCAGGAGGACTAAGGCAGCCTCCACAGAGAGATTGTCGTAAAGAGAGAGCCAGCATCCCAGCTCGCCAGCGGCTTGTCATGGTTTATACTGCCTTCCCGAGATCGCCCGGCCTGCCTAAAGACACATTTCCCACGGCCCCTCTATATTAGAGCCACTCTGGTCCTTGCATCACTGAACACGGCTGCAATTCCAGGGGTGTTTGGGGGAGACTGGATACGAAGAAGGTACATAGAAGAGATGAGAAGCTAGAAGGGAAGTCTCAGAAGCGGAGACACGACTTAGGCCGGGCCCTGCGGTTGAGGAAAGGCCTTTTGGAGGCGGGACAGGAGGGGGCTGGAGGCTGTGATGACGAGGCTCACTCACTCGTGGCCCCCCCTCTTCCTTCTGGCAGGACACCACGACGTCCGTGCGCATCGGCCTGATGATGGAGGAGATGATCTTCAACCTCGCGGACACGCACCTGTTCTTCAATGACCTGGAGGTTTGGAATCGCTCGTTTTGTTTCCTATTCGCCGTATGTAGCCCCCTGCATCTGGTTCGGGGGAAGAGATGCTGCCCTATCTTCCCGCACCCCCTCTTTTTGCTTTGGAGGCTAGAAACTTGTGCTAGCAAACCGCCCCCCCCCCCAAGGCACAAAACTATGGCCAGCGACAGTTTATTGAAAACACACTTGACGGTGTTATCTCCCCAGCGTCCAGAGCAGCTAATGGGCCTTTCTGCTCCTGCGTTGAGGTCCCCTGGCAGCGTTGCTAATCCAATAAAGGCTGCAGAGTTTCTTCCTCCCGAAACTTGCTGTTTAATAACTTAATTAAGGCAAATTAGTACAGATCCTCCTGGGTCAGTAATAATTAGCAGTGGGCCAGGATGGAAGGTTTCAAAAACAATTTACATCCCCCTGAAAACATGGTTGACAGAGAGCGGGCGAGCAGAGGGACTGTGCTTATTTAAAGTATCTGCTTCTGTGCCCTAAGCGCCCTTCAAAGGAAATAGGACACAGGAGGAGAAGAGCTTCAGAAATCAGTTTAATTTGTTTGCTTATATCTAGCCTGTGTCAAAATGGTGTAGACATCATTTCAAATGGAAAACGTGTTTTCCATGGAACTACTACAGCAAAGGAATAGAAAGCTAGGGTAAGGCATTGTACCCCAAAAATCCGGCTCAGGCCAACTTTTGATGTTAAGTTTGGAGTTAATCCCCGAGCTTCCCGGTAGCCAAAGCAAAAAGGGAAATATGCATTGCTTACCTCCCCCAAAGAAAGAGCAAGCAGCTTTCTCCAAGGTGAAAAGGGCTGTTTTGGCTGATAGGAGGAGTAATGTAGGGATCTTCTGGCTTTATAAATTATATCCTCATTGTTGGTTTACCAGATTGAGAAATAAAGGCAACCTAAAATAAAACTGTTTGCGAACGAATCCCAATTTTACTGATCCTAGTAGGAATTTCTCCTCCTCCCCCTCGCCGCCCCCCCCCCCAATCTGGGAAATCTCTGGAGACTAGACTGCGAAGCAGAAATATAAAGGCTCTGCATTCCAAATCCATCCTGACCAGCCAGATCATTGCTGTTGTCCACCATCAGGAAGGGACTCGGGGTTTCCTTCCAGCCGGCAGCCCTCGAATTCCAGGGGGCAGGCAAGTCCGCACGGAAAGCACCCGTCTACGTTCTGTCCAGGCTAGGCTGGCCGCCTGGGCCTCAGCCCTCCTGTCTACGAAAAGGCATTGCTCTCAGCCCTCCATGGGCTTCAAAGAGAGGACTGAGGTAGAAACTTGTTGATGAAGAAGGAGAATACCTGTAGCACCGAGGCCCAGGACTGTCTCCCCAGCCAAAGCAGTGTGCAGCTTCTCTTGAAATGACCTCTCATGTGTTGGGGGGTAAAAGAGAGAGGGAGGGAGGAATAGAAGAAGAGGGAGAGAAACTAAGAGTTAAACAGAACAAAACAAAATAAGCATGTCAGGTGAATTCAGCAAGGGCTGATGGAGTAGCATAATAAAGGCTTCATTGACTGCAAATAGCAAAAGAAACCCAACTCACTTTATTTTTAAAAAATGGGAGTTATTGGCCTTGTAGTGGAAAAATAGATTTAACTCTTCCCTATCTCCTCCTTAGGATGTCAGTTTCCTGAGATCAGGGATCATGTCTGCCTGGTTTACCTAAACTTTCCCCGGCCCCGGCAGTAAACAGCCAAATGGATCCATAAACAAGAGGATTTGTGGTAGTGAAAAGGATGTGGGGAAAATAAAACAGTGAGATGTGATAGTGAGCGATGGGTGAGAGGGGGCAGGGTGGTGGCCAGCATTCTCACGGGCCAGGAATGCCTCCGGAGGGGGTGACACTGGAGCCAGCAGAGTGGAGATCTAGGGAGGCAGGAGCAACAAGTACAGAGGCCCTGAGCTGAGCACGCGTGTGGAATAATCTGGGGTCAGCGAGGCCGCAGGAGAGCCGTGAATGGGGGAGTGCAGGATTGGTGGGAGAGATGAGACTGGAGCCCTGGGCGTGGGCCCGACATGGTCACAGACATCAGTTTATTTGCAAGTACTGTGGACCTCCATGGGGCTGGGGTGCACATGACCTGGTTTGTGTTGTTAAAAGACCATTCTGGCTACTGCATGGAGAATGAGCAATAGGAGGGGAAAGGTGGAAACAGGGAGGCCAGAAGGAGATATTGCAGTTGTCCAAGCAAAAGAGGAAAAATGGGTTGGGTCAAGGTGGGAAGAAGCTGTGGGCCCTGGGATGGAGGTAAAGACCAGAGGGTTTGTTCACGGGCTGAGTATGGGAATGAGGAGAGAGAGGAGTCAGAGGGACCCCTGGGTGTGGTCCCACCAGGGCGATGGCGCCGTTCTCCGAGATGGGCTAAGCAGGGAAGATGTGAGTGTGCAGTGGGAAGTCCGTCCTCTGCCAAGGGCACTTGGGGTTTGAGATACCAGTGGACAGGCAGATATACCAGCCTGAAGATCCCATGCAGTAAGAACGCCAGACACACAATAGGCATTTGTCAGTCTTGCTTGAACCTGAGGCTCAGAGCAGGTATTTTGCGGGATTGGTGTGTGTTTGGAGCCACTCTTCAGCTTCTTGCCCTCCTTCTGTTCCTCCCCGGCCCCAATGCAAGGTTGCAGCTCCTGGAGAAGGACCTTAATTACCAGCTGGAGCTGCTCAGGGAAAGCCAGTTTGTTTTATTCTCCAACTTTTTTCAAAACGTCCCCAGTGCCAGAAGCCCCCAGGGCATCTCGGCAGGATTGAAGCCACGTTACCGATGGAGAAGTTAAGGCTCGCACAAGTGAAAACATACTGCTTGCTGGTGCAGGGGGTCCTGTGGGCATCTCACGGCAGCCTCCTGTGGCTCCCGGGGAGGCCCAGGGCCTGCAGGATGGTCGGTTTAAGGAACAAAGTCTCCTCTGAGCCTGCCGTCCGGCTGCAGATAGGTCGGCTCCCGGGTGCAGCAGCCATTTAGGGAGAACTCACCCTCGGCCAGCCCTACCCTCAGTGCTGTGGATTCGGAGGCAAACAAACACAGCAAGATCCCCACCCTCAAGGCATTGACCTTCCAGCTGGGGAAGCGGACCTTAAACAGCTGAATATATGATGTCGGGTGGAGGCCTCCAAAGAGAGGCCAGTGGAGCCAGGGAGGTGATGGCTACAGGGCTGTTATTTTTCTTGGCTTGTCCGCATAAGGCTTCTTTGACATCTGAGCAGAGATGGGAAGGAGATGAGAACCTGGATGAAGAGTTTGTCAGGCCATGAGATAGCAGTGCAAAGGCCCTGGGGTAGGTTACACGAACATGGTAGTGGGAGCAGAAGGAACAGGAAGGATTGTGGTGATCAGTGGGAGTTAGAGGCAGATCTCGTTGTTAGGCTGTTAGGCTTTGGATAATATTCTGAGGATGACAAAAAGCGATTGGAGGGTTTTGAGCAGGGCAGCCATATGATCTGATTTACAGTTTAGAGGCTCCCTCTGGCTGCTGGGTGGAGAACAGACTGGAGGAGGCAGGGGTGGAAACAGGTGTCCGCGTTAGATCAGTGGTTCCCAGACTCAGAGCACTCAGAAGGAGAGCCTGTGAGGCGTATCAAAGACAGGGTAGGTGCCACGCTTAGCTGTATCTCAGGCCATTCAGGATGTGTGTTCTCAATTTAAGAAAAGCACCTTCTGCCCTGAGCAGTTTGGCTCAGTGGATAGAGCGTCAACCTGTGGACTGAGGGGTCCCAGGTTCGATTCCGGTCAAGGGCATGTACCTTGGTTACGGGCACATCCCTAGTGGAAGGTGTGCAGGAGGCAGCTGATAGATGTTTCTCTCTCATCGTTGTCTCTAACTATCTGTCTCCCTTCCTCTCTGTAAAAAAAATCTATAAAATATGTTTTTTTAAAAAAAGAAAGAAAGCAAAACACCTTCTAACCAGTTCAATGTGCCTTTAAGTCCTGGCTCCACCATCTCCAGGTTGTGTCTTGGGCAAGTTGCTCCCTCTCCTTGAGCCTCAGTAGCCCCATCTGTTAAATGGTTAGAAGAAAAGCCTCTACCTTCCAAGGCTGTGATGATGGTGGGAGATGGATGAAAGCAGTCAGCCTAGAGCCTGGCAGACTTTACATGCCCAGCAAGGGCTACAGGTGCCACTGGTATTATGCAAGGGGCACCTGGTAGAGGGGCAAATTGTGCAAATTGTTAGGTTTTTATTTTACTTCAAGTTAGAAAATATAACTAACTTGCCCAACCCCTGATTTTACAATAACTCAGTATCAGTACTGCAGTAGAGCAAACCATGACCCACATAAAGGGTCAAGACCAGCATAATATCTTAAATAATTTAAGAGTAAGGAATAAAGTAGAATATAGGATATGCCACAAATGGTAGTGGTGACTATTGCTTTAAAATTTATTTCTGTAATATAAGGTGTGTTCCAGCCATGTAAGTGTCTGTGTGATGGAAAGTGTATTTCTTACTGAAGGTCACAGTCAAAAGCATGGGGAAGCCAGTGCTGCAGAGCAGTGCAGTCAGTGGGGTTCTCTGCAATGGCATACAAGTTCCATTCTGCCCTGTCCCATGCGGTCTCCATTCTCACATGTGGTCACTGAGCACTTGAAATGTGACTAGTGCAACTGAGGGGCTGACTTTTCCATTGTATTTCATTTTAACTAATCTTATTGATTTTTTTATTTTGAGAGAGAGAGAAGGGAGAGGGATAGAGAGACAGAAACAATGATGAGAGAGAAACATCATGATCATCTGCCTTCTGAGCCTGCAACTCAGACATGTGCTCTGATCATGAATCAAACCAGCAACCTCTTGGTTCATGGGTTGATGTTCAACCACTGTGCAATGCTGAGCTTTTTAATACATTTTTATTGATTTTTTCCTAATTTTTAAAGATTTTTTTATTGATTTCAGAGAGGAAGAGAGAGGAGAGAGAGAGAGAGAGAGAGAGAGAGAGAGAGAGAGAGAGAGATCAATGATGAGAGAGAATCATTGGCTAACTCTTGCATGTCCCATACTGGGGA